AAGTCTAAATAACTGTCTACTGTTACCGATCGCCGCTGCCTTTTCCATCTCTTTAGCCTTTGCTGCCCACCACTGTTCACGATCGTTGCGCAGACTTTTCGTCAGTTTATTTTTAAGTTGCGCTCGCTCTTCATTGTACTCAGAGCCTGCAGGGATGCATTCACGTGCATCCATTAGTTTGGAAGAAGCTGCTGATATCCACTGGCTCTTTTTAGCCATTATCTTGGAGTCGGCTACAGTCTCCAGTGCTGCTTTTACAGTAGACTGAAGATGGCACCAAGCTTCTTCTGGATGAGTGACAGTCTTTTGTTCCGATAACTGCCTAGCCAACTTCTCACTGAACACGGCTTTGGTGTTTTCGTTGTCCAGCAGAACTCGTAGTGGTTTTGTTGCCAAATTTTTTCTACGTCCATTGAGACGCAGGCATATACGTGCTCGGACCAACGCATGATCGCTGTCCAAACACGTACTCCAGAAGGAGCGGCAGTCTTCCACCGATCCTCTCCAGCGATGACTAATAGCAATGTGGTCTATCTGTGTCCATCGCTGAGTCGAGCTCGGTGGACGCCAGGTCAGACAGTGCCTTTCTTTATGTCTGAAATTTGTGCTGGCTAAAAATAGGCGGTTATCTGAGCATAGTTGTAATAGGCGATCACCGTTATCTGTACGTTCAGCTGGGATTCCGAAAGTGCCACCTAAGTGCCTTTCTGCCTCACTCAGTCTACCCACCTGTGCGTTGAGGTCACCTGCAACAACCACTACGTCCGAACGTTTGGCTTTCGAGAGGAGGTTAGACAGTTTATGGTAGAACTCGTCCTTCACTTCATCCGAACTACAGTCAGTGGGTGCGTAAGCAGAGATTACAAAGAGACAACGGCGAGTCTCACTATTCCTTTTAGTTCTCACTGTGCCGTTCAGCCTCATAGCGCAGAGGCGACTATCAACTGGGATCCAGTCTAGTAGTGAGTTTTCTGCCCTGGTGCTTAATGCTATACCTACACCTGCAAGACCACGAGAGCTAGCTATCGAATCTCCAGAAACTCGAAGGGTGAATTTTGCAGATTCACCAGATTGGTCAGGAGAGGTCAGGTGAATAACCACACTTGGGTCCTGTATGCGTGTCTCACAAACACAGCACACATCCATGGCCCGAGTTGCTAGAGTCTTTGCCAACGAAGCCTGTTGGCCAATTTGACGGAGGGTGCGGACATTGAAGGCTCCAATATGTAATTTGGAGCGTGGTTTAAGGAGACCAGGGACGCTGTTCTGTGGACTCAGATCGTTGTCGAAGGCTGCAGAGGTAGGAGAAATTGAAGATGATGCAGCATCATTAATTAAGAGACGTGAAGGAAGATTAGAAGGTAATGATGGAGGAGGAGGATAGCAGTCAGAAGAAACTTGGGTGCTGACAGAGTTGTGAGGGCGGTTGACACTTCCCGGCTGCCCACACCGTGGAAGGCTATTTCTTCTTAAGGTACCTGAAAGAGATTTGTGTGACCGCAGAGCCCATCGGACATCTGCTTGAGGCCTGTCACACCCAGCCTTTTGAGTATGATTATTTTGAATTTTTGTATTTTTGGGGCCGGATGAGCGAAAGGAAACGACAAGTGAACCAACACCGCCGGCCCGGCAGACCGTGGGGCGTGGTGGAGTGTGTTATTTTTGGGGCCGACCTTTTCTAACCCCCCCTTCCACTGAGAAGGCAGCATCAGCTTGGCACTGCTGGTCATCCAAGGGAAACACCTTACTGCTGTCACACCCCATCCAGCTAGCAGCAGTACGACTTCGCCCTCAGACCCCCATCATAGTGTAGCAATTTACACTATGACGGTAACTGCTTTTCGTCTAACCACTACCCAACAGACCTTTCTGGTATGGTAGGACCTCGAGGGAACAAGCGTTCCACCAGCATAGCTCGTTGGGTCATTGTGATATGCAAGCCCGACCACCACGTCAAGGTAGCAGCTATCGGTCGGGTTAATCCCATCTACTTCATGCTTATCTTTATTTTATAATGCATTAAGATTAATAAAATCAGTGTCGGATTATATTGTTCTATATTCAATGGGCAATGCAGTTTAATGAAAGTGAATCATGCCAAGACCAATTATTCGTATATTAAAGTAGCGTGGTTTTAAGCAGGATAAAACCAATAAAACTATTGTGTAAGGGGTCAAGGGAACATGAAGATAGTCAATAAAAAGTATCATTCATGTACCGATACACAAAACGTATGTTAAGATACGGATCAAGAAATATGTTTCTCATCATCACACCATCGATGTATCCATCAGTAAACATATCAAAGTTTTATTGTAAAACAAGGTAGGTTGATATTAGATGTTAGTAGAACAAAATGACTCGCTACCGATAAATTATTGAATGTGTCCGATTTTATATCTTCACGACTTGAACAGAAGCTCGACGAATACAAATTTCATTCATTCAGGCAAACTTATCATCAAACTCAAAATACTGACATCCAAAAAAGCATTTGAACGAATGTTTCTCTAAGTGACAATGAATCTGTGGTAGAAACTGAATTGAAATTAATCAATTATCGCATTAAAAAAACATGGATATGGTATTCATCATAAATTGATAACGCCTGAAGATCATTTAACAACTATTCATCCAATGGAATCGAAATCAAGGTAGTTGTTGAATAAGTCAATTGAATTCTGATCGGTAATCCAGAGGTTGGTGGTTTATATCTTGCCACAACACAATCATATATACCCCCCCCCCCCCGCCTCCTTATCAGTATACAACATCAGGAAGCAGAGAACAGGATCAAGAAAGAATAATGAGCATTTTATGACTTTACTCTGACTGAAAGTTATTGGGTTCGATCTTGAAGGTGTGCACCACTCTAAGTCACAAACTTCAGCAAAATATGCGTTCAATACGTCTTCAGTTAATATTATTGCCCGATCAAAAGTACCTGATTTCTATTATTCATGATTGCCATCTTATTGAAATGAGTTAAATGTTCATGAGTGCACTATTGTAAAACTATGTAAAACTTACTTAAATATGGCTTGTTGGTGAGACTATTATAAATACCAATAGGTTGGAAAACTGAGTTGACAACTTAAGATGAAACGAAGACCTAAACTATGGTAGGATTGAAATCAGTGATGCCGGTGTCAACGACTCGGTGAACTACGTGACCCCACTGCTAACAACTAATCCAAAAAGGCTGATGATTCAAATTCTGCCGTAACCCAGGTATTTAGTTCACCTATGAGCATTACTTCATATCATTAATACTGTTTATTTATTTCATTATGCTTAGTTGAAGGGCCAATATACGTCTGGAATTTGTAATACTTTAAAAAAAAGCGAAGATATATAGAATATGGCGAAGCATTCTATACACAGATAAAAGATTACAAACAAAGTATAACGCAATATAGATAGATGATATCATCGTTAGACCTGACATTACTGTGTAACAATTCAATATGAAAAGTAAAGAAATCAGGAAGATGGCACTGAAAAGTGGTGGTAATTCGTCGAAGAGAGTGAAGAGGAATAGCACGAATTCCATGAATTACTAGCACCTTTCAATGCTATCTTCCTGATTTCTTTACTTTCCATCTAAGAGAGTGACGAGGAATAGCACAATATTGACCTGACATAAGGATATATTGAACCAGGTTGCTACACTTTGCATTACTACATTGAAGTAGATGTCGGCAATGACAAGACAGAATGAGATAAACAGAATAAAGACATTAGTCATAAGGATTTCGATGAAGATTAAGATTATATACATCTATTTCGAGCTATATAACATAAAGTTAGCAATGAACTATTTTAGATCGCAATTACGAAACTGCCTGAACTTTGGGCTGCCAATAAAGTTCTCCACAATTCAATTTGTTTTAATGTTTCAAATATATTCTGTAAACGCATCATATACTCATAGGGATTTTTTAAATGTTCTGAACTAGCCGGTTTTCGAATTGATGACAAAAGGAATGAAAAATGCTGTTACACAAAAATGAACTTTTGAATACATTATGTTGCTTTTCGTCGGATACCACCTATCTAGAACTGGAAATTCTTCTAACGGATGAATAAACCACCATCATTAAACATTCGATGATAATCCATCACCAACCGAAGGCTTCATATCACTACCTTTGATGCTGTTAATATAAACATCATTCACAGACAATAAACAGTGGCTTGACAGTAACTTGCTGGTCTGGGAGTTCGATCCCTGGCTAGGTTATGAAGGCGCACTGCTGAGGAGTCCCGTACTAAGAAGATACAGCTGTCCAGTGCTCCCAGGTTTCCAATATTTTTCTAACAGATATCATTCCATGATGAATACCAACCTGAAATCAATAAATCCTCATAAACTTCAAAAAGGAATGATCATTCAGGTATATGCTTGAGCAACTTAATAGCGATCGGCTAATATAAAATGAGTAGGTCAGTATGACACAAGTTTTATAAGCCATATACAAAATGAGTGTACTCTACTATCTATCACTACTAAATGTATGTATCTTACAGTGAAGTGGGCGATAGCTATGTTATGGAAATTTGTAAGAACCAACTTTCCTAAAATGAGATACCGATGACTAATGCTTTATCTCACAAATATATAGCTTGGAGTTTTAATTCAACAATCACAAACACCCACAATTGAATGGAGGACATAGAACAACGTTTTGCTGGATCAAACTGTTACACATATCAAGAAATCGAAAACAAAGAAATAAATGCACTCAGAAACCTTGTGCATGTTCGTGCATTAGGCAAAGGACCATACATACTGTTTGAAAGTTAGTGCTACTTCCTGACTTCTTAAACTTAGGTGGGATGGGGTTCGAACCGATGATGCACTGGTTGAATGTCAGCACTTCCAGTATATAAATATATCAAACATCTTAAAAATTGATGAAATACTGAAAAACTTCAGCACGAAGAATAAGGAATTACAGGGAATCAAGGAAAATGATTGTTTATTGTACACTGCTTACTCTACACCAGTAGCCATTATACAGCCTTGACATTCACACTCTTCAGTATCATGTCTTAGGCCAAAATTATGCCCAAGTTCATGTGCCATAGTACGCGCTGTTTCGACGACATCAAATGAAGGGGAAACCTGAACGAATATATGCCAAAAAGAAGAAACAAAAATTTTTTCAACAAACACTTCCAAGAGTATATAAACAACTTTTTCGGAAAACTCGTCACCCTATCAGTTTTTGTATATGTATAAAAGGAGGCCGTAATGAGCTTTCTCAAACGAAACAATAAAAGCTTAGAGATAAGATAGAAGTCAGAAAATTATCTGGTTGCTTTCGTGGCAGAAATTGAAGGTAAGCATGTGATTGATTGACTGATAAGATCAGGGTTTTGTGTAGACCAGGGGGGTTAGTTCAACTCCCAACAGTTTAATCAGGAACAGAAATTGAACTGTGTTATAATCATGATGATTTCTGGTAGACAGTGAAAATTCACAACCAACCAACTTCAAAGCATAGTTAAATTCTCGACACTTTCCGCATGAACAACTAGCAGCGATTCTGAGCACCTCAGTAAATTGTGTCATAGAACAAGTGAATAAAAGCTAACGAGAAGGCCTACGAATAGAGATTACAGCAGATTATTGTAAATACGCTAAATGATGGACGAAATATCCTCATAATTCGGCTAACAAGAATTTGAATGCTGGATGATGATTGAAGGTGACGTGAAAATTCGGACCACTGCAGAATTGGAACCAGCGACCTCTGGGTGTGAACGTTAAGAGTTCGGGAGTTAAGATTTAGCGATTAACTAATTAGTTTTTTAGGGAAGAGTCACCTTATGGTGATTTTATTCTCAAAGCTGACCAATCGCAAATTCATACATTCTTCTTAAGTTAAGGTTACAATTCATAAGTTCCAGAGGGAGAAGCGGTTATAGTTTCTGTTAGACTATGCTGGAAATATACATGAACCAACCAATCTTCATTATAAGCCCGCAATGCGTTAACAAATATAGTAGCGTGAACTTGTTTAGGTCGCTGTGGCGCCGCCACGATATTTGACTGTCCATTAAGGCTTGAGTGTACTGTGCTGCAGTCCGCTCTGTTCTACTCTATGGCTGTGAAACATAGCTATTACAGGTAGAAGACATGAAAAGGTTTCAGGTGTTTGACCACCACCACCTTCGTAGCATTGGTCGTATTCCATGGTGTCACCATGTGAGTAACGCAAAAGTCAGGTGTAGAGTTCTAAGCAGGAGAGGTAATACAGTTGATGCGGTTGTCAACCTTCATTGAGTAAGCTGTCTGGGACAAGCGTTAAGTATGCCTAACCACCGTCTACCTCGTAGTACAATGTTGGCCGAAGTAGGTTCAGGCTGAGAAAAGGCTCAGGACGACCACACTAAAACATGACATCAATGCATAAAGTCCTTGACTTTTAGTTGGAGCCATGTAGGGCGATGCAGACTAGTCATTTGGAGTCCTCGGGATAAGAGAAACCAGCTGTTGGAGATTCTAGGTGATATGGCTCAGAATCGATGTAGGTGGCGAAAATGCAGACACACATTATCCTTATCTTAACCGCTACACTTATCTCATCATCGTCTCACTCTTCTTTCCTCTCTTTTACCATTTTCTGCCTCTACTTCTTTTGACTGATTTTCTTCTTCATCTTCCATTTTATTGCCTTGTTACTTGATATGGTGATATGAGGTGTGGCAACTTGGATCGTTACGCAGTAATGTCTGATACTATTTTGATTTTGATGACGATGATCAAACTCGGTTCGACATTGATACAGTAAGAAATTCAACCCTCAACTAGCTGTATAGGCGATGAGGGTTGGAGAAGATAAATGTTACTTTCCACGCTACTGTATCCAACATCGGGGACTAACATTTTCAGTTTTGATAAATCCAATCGTTACTCTTACTCCGATAGGAGGTTTTAGGTATGAATCAGTAATTACCAATTACTGTCAGGTATACAATGTTGATCTTAGGCTGATAATGAATCAATACAGATTCATACTGTTGCTCTTCTCAGTTAATGCGGTTATACTTATTCAATCATGCAAAGCTACTTATTATTAAATATATCAATGAAAATTTTTTGCATTGGGGAAATGATCAATGCATTATAAGTAATTTTTTAATGAAAAGCTTATACACAATGATGAACTTTCATTTTGGTAATATTTCGAGGAAAATAACTGCCGTGATCATATCAACAGTTGGAATATTTTGGCAATATTTATTCACACATTCACCAGTAAGCGTCATGTATGTATATATATAGTTTTTACTCATCGTTCGTTAATCTGTCTGTTCAATACAATGTTCCATATGGTTGACAGTTATGTTGATTCATCTTTGTTACTGCATATGTTAGGGGTGATATGTATAAATATGGACTCTGTTGTTAACCTTTCTTTCCATTTATTTTTGTTGGACTCAAGTATGATTGATAGTGTTGTTTCAATCGATTTTACGTATTTAGTCCCATGCATGAGCTGTTAGTATTGATGAACGTTTTTATAAATTTTTGTCCCTCTGAGGACTGAATTTTGGTTAATTTTTGATATTCAACCAATTTGGTTTTCAACGATCTTGACGTTTTTTCTTACATAGCTTATTAGGGTAGTCTGTACACGATATTCATACATTTCACTGTTCTTGTCCAGTTTTTTAACCGGATCTTTTAGTTGGTTCAATTTATTTTTTAATAGATTCATTGGTTTAAATGTTGTGAAAATATGAGGATTTCTAAGGTTTCTTCCAATTGCCTCCGATGTACCTTTTTTGAATGGTAATACTACTGTCTTCCTGTAGTTATCCATCTTAATAACTCCTCTTGTTGACTTTTGCCCCTCCCTCTTAATGTTATCTGTTATGAACTGCTCCGGGTATTGATTTTTTAATAACATCTTAAATATGATATTCATTTCTTCTTGTTGGTCATCAGGGTGTGTTGTTACTCTACGTATTCTGTCTGTCAGATCCTGTATTAACCCTCGTTATACTGTGGTCGAGTGGGCTGTATGGGTTAGGGTTTGGGTAATTCAGAAACCTTCCAGAATGCGTTGGTTTGCTATACAGGGTTGTTTGTAAAGAGCTTTCTACTGTTCTTTTGGTTTTACAGTCCAATATTAGCAGTTCCCCCAATTCATTCTCTATTTCGATACTGAATTGTTTTGCAGTCCACCTGACTTTATATGTGAATGGAATCTTTCGATAACAAAAACATTGATTGGAACAACACTATCAATCCTACCTTAGTCCAACAAAAATCGACAGAAAAAGAGGTTAACAACAGAGCCCATATTTATACATATCACCCCTAAACATATGCAGTAACAAAGATGAATCAACACAACTGTCAACTATATGGAACATTGTATTGAACAAACAGATTAATGAATGATGAGTGATCACGGGCAGTAGTTTTTCTCGAAATATTACCAAAATGAAAGCTTATCCTTGTGTATAAACTTTGCATTAACAATTAATGCTGCCTATCATTAATGTCATTCTCATCTTAACTATCTGAGATGGTCGTAGTTTGGCAAACTGGCATTGATATTGGGTGACGAGTGAGGGTGAAATGAAAATTTGGACCGCGTCGGGATTCGAACCAGAGACCACTAGACCTCGTAGCAGAGTTGGTAGAGTACCGAGCCGGAAACCCGGTGGTTGCTGGCTCGAATCCCGCTGCAGTCTAAATTTCCATTTCACTTTTAATCATCGCTTAATATCACTATTATTTTGAAAATTATAATTTTACTGTAGTTATAAAATTGTTTGTATCGAAGACAACAAATTTGGTATTCAGTGGATTGCATTTAGAATCTATGTATTATTCTTTCATGTGTTTAGAATGCCTTAAAGCAAGGATGTATTTTAACTGTACTGTCTTCACAGCAGCTTCATTAGAAGTAAAATGGATTAATTGAAACAAAATGCGTATCAGTTGAACTGAAATCAAGCAAAATTTAGTTAAACCTGACAACAAAAGAACTATATTAGAGACTAAAGAGTCAATTAGCAGAATGACTTGCTTGAGCTAGGTTCCGTGACTGTTGCTACCAAGTTATTCAGACCACTTAATGGTACAGGTTTGAGTCATGGATGGGTAATGTACTGAAGATGAGTCCCAACATGTACGAAACCTTGGTCAAACGGGGCTTTCTATCGTTTGGCAGCCAACATCAAATCACAGTAACGTCTCACTTAGCTCAATGGTTGATATTACAGACTTGATCAGTAGATGTTGATAAGCACTCAACCTAACATCTTAGACTATGAATGATTTTATTTCATGAAAAACCAACAAATATCCAATCGAAGAAAACTCATCAGAAACAAGAAACGCTGACCAATTCGTTTTAGGATGAAATGAAGACTAAGCATTATTCAGAGTTCTGACTTCAGCACAGAGTCCCACAAGTTTCAATCCTCAAGGGAACATGAAACTAACACCACCTATCGAAATATTGAAAATATATGGCAACTATCTTACTCTATCCTTTTTCAGTTGTTGATGAGACGTCTCATAATGCTACGGATGTGAGATTTGTCCTCAAGACAATGACTAACTATTCTTTTTTCAACCATAAATGGTGAACACCACTTATAAGAATGTATATCAGTAGTATATAGCACAACATTGGAAAACGCAGGAAGTGATAACGACCGACTGGTGATGATTCCAAATAGACGAAAACAGAAGAATGAGAATGTCTGCTAATGCAACTTTACTGTAGGGTTTATTATTTTGGGATTTCCTGATAAACAATATCTGCTGGTCCATGAAACTTCTCGTCGCAGCGACAACAGCAACAACAGTTTATGCATGTAGCATACTCTCAGGTCCATTATCACTCACCCCTACGAATAGGCACTATTAACAATAAATGGATTTATTTTGAAGTGAATAAGAATTTTAATTTTGAGGTAGTATTCATCATGCACTGATATCAGTTGGAGAACCACTGAGAAACCTAGGAGCACTGGACAGCTGTTTCGTCCTAGTATGGAACTCCTCAGCAGTACACACATACGACGTAGCCAGGGTTCGAACTCAAGATGATGAATACTACGTCAAAATTAAAATCCCCATTCACCGCAAACTACATTACCACATTAGTGACACACAGTGAAACCCAAAGGTCCTGAGTTCGATCCCTAGCCTGGACGTGGGTACGCACTTCTGAGGAGTCAACTATTACGACGAGACAGCTGTCCAGTGCTCTCAGGTTTTCAATGTTTCCCCAACTGATGTCAGTCCATGATGAATATTACCTCAGAATAAATGAATTTATAATGATAATATTGACTGGATAAATGTTAAAAAATTGAGCAAAACTTGTTTTTCACTCACTCTGCTATAGCCAACACAACGAGAATAAATACACATAGTCATGTGATTAGCCTTTCCACGAGTTCGTGACCCTTGTTCTTTAGTACCTCTTGTTTGTAAATAAAGTGATACAGAAAAAGCATACGCAACAATAATATTAAGATTTCACATTGAGTATTTTTGCTTTGAAAAAAGAATTATAAGGTGTAATTTTTAAACAATTCAACTTTATACACAATTATATCCAGCCGCAACTGAATGTATACAGATAACATACTTAATCAGCGTATTTGGTCGAAAGTGACTATTTCTCTTCATGAATGATGTAGTTGCGTAGGTGGTTGGTATTTTCGACGCAGTAGATAAATGTTTTATGAGTTTTTGAAGGTAAAATATAGTCTAAGGCGTTATCTACTTCATTTCATAGTAAAGAACTACACTGCTTATACGTTAATTTCGATAAGTATTGATTATTCTTCTCAAAAAACTTCCAATCAACTAAGATGGTGAATTTTGATGAGTAGATTATTTTAGGGAAAAATACCACCACAATTCATGAATGAGCATCAACATACTTGTACAACCCAATACTCATAAATGACGCATGTTGTATTCTATGGAATGGCCTTATATAATCCGGTTGTCATTAGATATGATAGAGTTTGCTTAATTTAGGTGTGAACACCTTTTTGGATCAGTGGACACTTCATTTTAGATGTTTTGAGCCTCTGAGAAGTATAACTTCACGATAGTTCTTTCATTTGCAAAATTAGAAAACATCTGTAAAGGATTAGTTGACTTGAAGTACTCTAACTTTTTCAATGTCCTCTGATCAATTTAAAAGATCAACTGCTATCTTCAGTGAGAGATTGATATACACCCTTGGAGTAGATTCCGCTTTAAATTCAACCATTTTTTAGGTATGTAAGATTTCTATCGACCAAGTTCATCTCAGATAGTCTAACCTGTTGAAAAGTAGTCGTTTATGTGGTGATCAAGGCAAATAGTCACGTAAGAATTTGTGGGTGTTTGACATGTTTATCGAACTACGGATAAATCGTGATGCTATGTCCAAAATATAAAATTTTTCTAATTGACTCATTTACAGACTTCAATTCAATTAGTAAATAAATACTGAAGAGTATTTTATTGTAAATTAATTGTCAACTAGAAACTAAAAAGCATGTAATGCCAATGTACCATAAGTGACTATTGTACTTGACTCAGTTCTATAGATGACCATACATGATTATTCACGGAGTGATCCTTCCACCACTAACTTCCTTCACCAAAATGTTAAGTGGTGAACATCTGAGGTAGTAGCGATTTCCTAGAGGTTTCTCAAGTATAGGCTGCTGAAAAATATTGACAAGCATGAACCTACCTTATGCTAGAAATAAAATGTATATTTTATTCATTTTTTTTATTTTATTTTAACAGTCCCCTAATTCCCTACTTTTAATGCCTTTACTTCCTGAAAAGTGTGTACAATAATTGTTTCGGTAATGTTGCGTTCTCTTAGACGACTGATTTCATCGTTAAGTTTTCATTGTCTTTATAGGCAAAATTATCCGAACTAACTTGAAAATGGAGAGAATACAATATCTATCCAATAAATATTCGTCACCAATATCAATTAAAAATTAAAATTAAAAAAACACCACATAAACTTACAATAGAGCGTGTAAACAATCATGGCGTACATCGGTATGCATACGCTTAAACTGAGCCAATGAAGTAAGTATATGATGCTCTTCTACTTTTAAACTAATACGATCCTGTTCCCAAATTTCTAATCGAACAATAACTATCACAATATTGAACGGAGCAAATAACTAAAAAGGATAAAGAGAAATTATGAAAATTAAAAAAAAAATATGCGGACCAAATTGCAACACTACGCTACGCTAGGCATCATCATCGAACAGAGCATAGAATGACAGTCAACTGAATGTTTACCTCAACTTCATCGACTTTGAAAAGGCCTTCGACAGTGTCGATTGAGAAGTAATTTGGCAACTCCTTCAACACAACGGTTTTAGTGCCAAAAACCTTTATCAACCTCATTTAACAACTATATGAAGACGCCACATGCCAGCCAAGTAATTCACAATGGGAAGCTCAGTGATGCTTTTGAAGTGAAGTCAGGGGACATAGGTAAAAACAAGGCTGCGTTCTACCACTCATAATCTTCCTGATCATGGTCGACTGGATCATGCTACAAACAGTGAAGAGCGAGAAGAGGGGGATACGCTGGCTGGACCGGGTAAAAGATCCTAGAAGATTTCGATTTCGCCAACGATGACTAGTGTCTAGTGTCACACGAACTCGAAGATCTACAGACGAAAACTAACAAGTTGACAGAAGAGGCAGGGCAGCGAAGATAGTACTTCAAGTGAACATAGAGGAGATGAAGATACCCAACCAACACCACAACCACCAACAACAACAACAAGTGTCAATCACCATCAACGGGGGAAACTTAAAGGAAGTAGCCTCTTTCACGTACCTGCCTAGGCAAGTAGCATGGTTCCAACTACAGGTAGCACAGATGAGGACATCAAAGCCAGCCAGGATTGGAAAAGCAAGACAGTCGTCCATCAACCTGGAGATCTTCTGCACTCAGCATAAGGCGTGAACAACATCCGGATTTTCAACACCAACGTCAAGTCAGTGCTTCTATATGGCTCACAGACTTCGCGCGTCACGAAAGGGATTTCCAACAAACTACAGACATTCATCAACAACTACCTACGCTCACTCGATACTGAAGACCAGATGGTAAGAAAGAATAAGCAACAAGGAACTCTGGCTGGCTGGCAACGAACCAATTAAGAACCTATCGCTCAACAAATATGCAGAAGGAAGTGGAGATGGGTCGGGCATGCACTGAGAAGACCATTCGGAGACATCAGGCGCCAGGCCAGGCCTTCGAGTGGAATAAAAAGGGGAAACGACGAGTTGGGCGTCCGTGGTGAGGGTGACATTGAGGAGACTGTGTGAGGAAAAAATGAGAGGTTGTAGGCTGTCGTGGAGCCAGGTTCAAAAGACTGCAGATAATAGAGTGGAATGGAGACGTGTTACTGAAGCCCTATATTCCACTAGGAACCCAAGGGACAAATAATAAGATTATAATAATAGTCAAAAAAAAGTATGCCCAGATCAAATTGATGATATGAATAGTTGGATATTAACGACACAAATCATGAACAGATTTTAGTAGTGTAAGCGTAGTTCGTTAATTTGAAATAGTTTTCTCATCTATTCTTGGATGCCTCTTTCAACTATGTATCTGAGCAAATACTGGTCGAAAAAATCGGAATACTAATCCATCACATGTATACTCTGAATCAAATATTACCATGTTCGATAGATCATAAAAATTGATTTGTTCATCTCTACATATTACAGAGAAAGAAGATAAACAAGCTAATGAAATCAGTTAACATGATTTGAGAATATAAATGCTTCTCTGACACTAAGTTTGATTATGAGCCATATTAAGTAACTTCATAAATCATATGTATGCTTGGTAAACAGACATCATAGAACAGGGTGATGAATGTTCAAAATGAAACTTGAGATAGTATCATAGCATCTGCTAAAGGAGCGTATATGACATCAAATATTGATCAATTCCATACGGCATAGTAACCAACGAGGGATTATAAACATCAATAAATTACATAAAGACGCTTATTTCAACCATTTCAGGAGTCGAATGTATCGCTATTAAATTGACTGTTCAATTAATTCCCTTTGATTTCCTACAAGTAGTTTAACTGAGATAAAGCTATGGCGATAGCTATTAGTTAAATTTAAAAGAAAATTATTATTCTAATAAATTGAAATCAATAAATAAAAAGACTTTTATCCCTAGAAGGTTAAGAAAAGTTAGTTATTCCGACAGAATAATTCAACACTGATTAAAACAAAACCATGTAACATTGAACAGTTGTAAGAGAAAAGGAAAAAAAAAGAATAATGTCCTTGGATTATGAAACATTTAATCTACGCTTAAAATTCAAAATATCATGTCAAGTATGAAAAAGTCAATCGGAAATGTCAAATCTTTCTCTCAGGTAACTTGACATTTTTGTTTAGTTTTTATCATTTAAAAAGGGATCGATTAGAAGAAAAAAATGACGTTGGTAAAATGCAACACATTGAAAAGTTTATTAATCACATAGAAATCTACTGAGGTGACAATTATGATAAACTGGTAAGAAGAAAGGAATGTCCATTTACTTTGAGTACCTTAGTGTGGATATGCACTAATTGCCAGATGTTAAATTGAAGAAGAACAGTAAACATTATTATCTTTAATGCATAAAGATGACCAGTGAAGATTGAAAGTCATTTTGACTAACAGTTTGACAAAACAGTATTGGTACTGAGTGGTGATTGAAGATGAAGTGAAAATTTGGACTATGGTGGGATTCGAACGAGCGACTGCCGGGTTTCTGGCCAGTTGCTCTACCAACTGAACTAGCTGTGAGACCTAACGAGTTATCAGATTTTTATTTCATTTCAATCGTCACCCAGTATCGATACAGGCTTGCCAAACTATAGCTTTCTCACATAGTCAAACTGATAATTAATATGGTGCTCCCCTCTCTAATTCAAGTAGATTTGCATTAGGATGAGAACATCCTATTGGGTAGCCACTGTGAGTAGGATCAAGAGATAGCAACGCATCACAAATTCACTTGGCAATTAGGTAAAATTCTTGGTGACTGAAGTGAAATAAAAATCTGGTCAGTAGTTAGGCTCTGTAGGTGGCTCAGTTGGTAGAGCAGCGAGCCAGAAACCCGGACGTTGCTGCCTCCAAGCTCAAGACTGTCAGGTCTCATGGCAAACACGCCACCATTCAGTCCCAGAGTGAGAAACAAGTCATGCACGTCTTCCGATTTTCATCATTTCGTAGTATAGTACAACTATCATGCAATACCGTCCGTAGTATCCATAACCATATCCAACTTGCTCTAAGCAACAGATCGTGGTTTCTATTCATCGGAATATGAGTCACCAGTTATTGTGATTTTCAATTATTGGTTTTCATCCTGGATTGACATCACCTAGAGAACCATAGGAACAACTCTTCAGAGCTCCCTGTTTGTCAATAGTTCTTCAGTTGATATCATTTCATGATTAAAGTGACTTTGGTCTATAATATGTTGCTTGACAAGATTCTTCTCAATATGCCAAAAGTGTCAACGGGATTATCAACATTATGACAAATAACCACACAATATGTGACATAAACTGTGAACGCGGTCAATTATTGATGTCATAGGTTGTACACATCCTATCGTTGTTTGAGGCGAATGGATCTGTCCCTATTGGCATATGGGCACCCGTACGGATACCTCGACACTGCCAGTGATTTCAGTTTGACAGTAATCGTGAGTAGTTGCTAATGTTGGAGTCATAACTCAGTAACTAAGTGGATAGTCCTCTGGCGTTTGAAGCAATGGATTCTAGGTTCAATTCTTAGTGGGAACAACATCACTCTTTGGGATGAAGGTAAATCTAGTCCCAAATAGGACGAAATGTGCGTCCTGGATTCCATTGCTAGCGAATACTCGTCATTACTAAGAATCAAGTTTTGATTAACTTTTTCAATCGGAAAGTTATGCCTAAACTTAAAATTTATCTCTTGACATAAGCGAATAACTAATCGAAGGAAAGGTTAGTTGAACAAGCAGAACAGTTATAAGACGAACTTCACGGTGACTTTAAAGGCCACCTTAGGGACGACTGAAATAATCAATTAGGTCTCTTCATTTCGACTGGAAATGTAGTTTGCCAAAAATACGTAACTGTAATTGGTTATTTCAGTAGTTGTTAAGATAGCCTTTACAATCATTCCGAGTTTCATCACAACCACACTTGAATTAGAGAAAAATTTAACCAATAGGCAGTGAAGGAGACTAAGTTAAGGCATAACGCTCAAAATCAATGAACGCGTACTGAACACCAAGTCAGAGTATAAGGAAAGGAATCAGGCAGTTAATAACAAAACTCTTATAATAAAGCAATAGAATATAATTATACAGGGTAGCTAACTCTGAAGTATGTTTTCAGCCCTTCAGAGTGTCTGTAGAAAAGTCCAGAGAACTTCTATCCATTAGTTAATCAAGTCTACTGTAAATAGTCTAATTCTGAAAGCCACAGATTGTTCGGATTGTCTTTCAGCCTGAACCAGAAAGCTCCAACATAATACTGAAAAAGCGTTGTGATGATATTTTGAATGACTCAAGTCCCCTTCATTTTGTCCCACTAATCTGTCAGTTGGCAACCGCATATAGTGACTCATTGTTCGATATCATATGTGCGTTTCATTGACTTTGGATTATATGTTCTGAGATAAGCATGACAGAAAGGTGTTTTGCAGTTTTTCTGAACTTCAATTCGTCTACGTTTTTTTCCTAGGTCGATATGTTGAATTTGAAAAATGACTAGTGGACAAATGAAGGATGTTTATCAGGCAGACTGTCGGCTAAAAGTTTTGACTGTGAACCAACAATATTTCCTAGTTGTATTGAAACTTTATTAGATGGAGCAGGAGTATTACTCGCTAAATATTAGACTCTCTGTGATAGGCTTCTACTTTAAAATGACTCATTAGTCTACTTCGCTTCAATATGACGCGCATACTGTTAAGTTATTCAAGCATATTGTAATGGGTGTGTCTAGAATGCAGCGTGAAGGAAACCTAATGCATACGAATAGTTTGAGGACATATAGCCATTCTTAACCATTAGTATACACGTTATATATATATATATATATATATATATATATAAAATGCATGCTAGGCTTCTGTTAATAC